ACTCCAGGGGTTCAAGTAAGTTTCTGTTTCATTTGTAGAATTTCAATTTCTGACACAAATCCTGCCAGCTCTTTCCCATTGTTTCTCATTGAGGGTTGAGGTGTGGGGAGTGAAAAGGGCTCAAGGGATGGCATAAAGTCAGAGGCCATCCTTGGATGAATTGCTTTGGAACTCATGTGGCTTTGGGGCTTGTAGGTGGGCTGACAATTAGACTGCAAATCTAATAATTGCTAGGTAAGGCCTGTAGGAGCAGGACTTGGCCAGGGCTTAGACATTTTCATCCCAATCCAGAAGCCAAACAATAGTTCCTTCCATTTTAGTATCGATCTGTCACAGTTGTCTGAAGCCTTGTCATGGATTGATTACCCACAATTCACATGTGAAAAAGAAGGTCTCAGATAAAGCCCGGAGTGATGGAGGAGATTTTTTTTCTTCTTCAATTTATTAATTTAATAGCCCTTACTGGAATGGTTATTGGAAACCAATGCTGCATTTTACTTGTGGCATGATCCAATCTGGTTGGACAGTTGAATTGCCGGGGCCAAGAGTGAGCCTACAACATGGCATATGTGAAGGCCGTCTGATGGACATTGGAAAGGAAAGGGACCTGTCTGGACTGTGTGAATTCCTTTTTTCCTGGGGTGGTCCTTGGTTAGAGTAAAAAGTTGTTTTGGCGTTCCCTAGTCACGTGTTATGATAGTGTGCCATATTCATACATGCTGGATCCATGTCGTGCTTGGTTCTGCTGTTCTATCCAGGTTCCAGAATGTTGCGATCCGCCAGCTGGTACATCAGTCCTCACGTGATGTTGTACTGCATTTCTGTGTCTCATTCTCTATCAGATTGTATTAGTATTTAAGTGGTTGTTAATTTTTTTCTTTCTTAGGGACCACGTGGCTTACCAGGTATCAAGGGAGAGCCAGGGAAAGATGGGGCTAAGGTAAAAAAACCAACCAAATAAAACCCCCCAACAGAACACTCCCCCTTCCTTCCCCCCCAAAAAAAAACCCCAAACCAGTAACAGATAAAAAGGTTCTACCCATTCCATGTGTAATTTTTGACCATACAGTTAATAGTATCAATATTTTCACATGAGGCTAGTGTGCAAATTGCTTACTAAAAAGGTAATAAAGAAGGAATAAGAATCCTTAATTTAAAATGTTACTTTAATTCTGATTCTGGTCTGCTTTATTTAATAAAGTTTATGTAGGCATTAGCACTGCCAGTAATACCTTTATTGCACTGAATAATTTATATTTAGCAAGCATATCTAAATATGGGTACCTGGAAGCACAATACAGACATCTTTCAGAATGGTCTCTTGCTATCTCTTTTCAACCTTATTCTCTTTAAGTGAGCATCCAGATGAGCTAGGTAGGAATTTTTGGATGGCATTTTTTATCAGAAAACACTGACTAACTGAAACCAAAGCTTTTTGTGGAAAATTTCTAGCTGAGGTGTAGCCAGTAGCTTAGAGCTGCAGATGAATGTGGAAGCTTATCTGTAACTCCCTCCAGGTAATAAAGGTAAACTTGAATCTGGGTCTCCTGCATACACAGTGAATAAACTAGCCATTGATTATGGGCAGGTCTCTATTGTAAATATCTGCATCTCTCACATTTTTGCCTTATGTTTAGTAAATTTCTAAGTTGATTGTGACAAAAAATGTATTTTGTTTTTGTTTTATTAAAACTTCAAGCCCTTTTTCTGTAAAGCAAACCTTCATTTTCTAAACAGATCTTACTGTAGAAATTCCTTCTTCTAAAGTTGCTTATATTAAAAACAGGTCCTTAAATTCATCACTGTTCAGCAGAATTCACAAATACGTGATCAGAGCTGAAAACTGTGCTTATATATTCTGTATTTTAGGCATCTTAATCTGATTGATCTTAGATATTAATCTAATTGATCAGTCAGTATTGGCCCATGTGCAAGAAAGTGAGATCCTGATGATGAAAAAATCTATTCTTCTGGCAGCACAGGTCTGTGACAGATAGAATATTTCCTAAGGCTCAGTCCAGCCTTGTTTAACATGTGCCAAGAAATAGGGCTTCCACCACTGTTTTAGAAAATTTCTTCCACTGTAAAACAGTTCTTGCCGTTAGAGTTTTTTTCCTGATGATTCAGCCTAAATTTTCATCTCTTAATTTCGCCCCATTACTTGTATAGTTTCTGTAGCAACTCATTTAAAATCATGTCCACTGCCAAATGTTTTAGTTTCTCCAATAATTGAATCACAACTTCTGAGTAGAAATCAAGGCCTTATTTTTCTTCATTAAAAAGCAATGGATGCAGGAAGTGTTTATTTTATAAGCTCTGCTGATTTTTCAAACTCTCATTCCGTTGCCTATTTTCAATACTTAACTTGTTGAGAGATATTTTGATAGCATTAACCCACAAGCTCTCATTCCTGTGGTCATGTTTGTCTTCTGAGAATATGTGGCAGACCTCTCCAAATCTGCTTAGACACAAATGATTTTGATAAATACCACTGAGATGTGTTCTTTTATCCTTTGTCTAAAAACCTGAAATATTATATAAAATAACTTCCTGAGCATAATTTACTATTTCTCCTTTATAACTGAAATATATTGAACAAATTGAAATACATTGCTCAATGTAAAGTTAGATATTAACGGAGAGGACACGTTGTGATTGTCCATTAATGGTTTGATGGTTGACTCTTTGTCTTGAGTGAAGTAGATGCTGTCTACTGAAACTAGCAACTAAGCTTGTTTTTATTGTTTCAAATCAGGTAGTGCCAAGTTATAATTCAGCTTTTTGTTGTATTTGCTCAAGGGAGCTTGCAGACAGATGGTCAGATATTTGTCTTCAGTACCAATAGCAAGAGGTTTGGAATTCCTGGTAACTGTGAGGACAATAAAAATAACTGTTTTGGCTTGTGTTTTCATTTGCCAGTTGCTTTTACCAAAGTGGATTCTTCCACTGGAATGAGAATGTATTTGTCAAAGAGCCAACATTGTTTTATCAGCATATTTTGTTTTAATTTTGTTTTTCTAGATAAAGTACTTAATACTTTCTCTTTTTAGTATTTCAGTCAGAGTAAGCTGGTGAGAAATTTGATAAGGTCAATAGGTCTTTGATGTTGTCAGTAAGAGGTAAACCATCCCAGATTTAGGGAATTTCCTTATTCTTTAGGACTTAGAAATGATTGATAGAATTATCACAGCTCTTACAGAGATCTTCAAAGATCTTTTCAAAGCTTTTTTTCCTCTTGTCAAAGCTAAATTGCTACTTTTGAACCTCCATAAGCCTTATTAAGAGATTACATTGAAATGTATTCTAAAAATTTTAGTGATTGTTTAATTTTTTTCTTCTATGTGTTGAACCTTGTTCAAAGAGCAACCGACTCTCATGTCAGCGTACCAGTGTTACGTAGTTGATATATATATAATCCCTTTCCACTATTTGTTGATTGCTGAGAATATGAATGTTATTATAGTATATCACTAGTATTTAGATATAAGTATTTAAAATATGTTTACTCTTCTAGGGTGACCCTGGACTCCCTGGTTTTCCTGGATTACATGGGATGCCAGCACCAAAGGTTAAAATGAAATACTTCTTGTTACAATATTAATGTTTCAGCTTGCTCTGTAGTTTAATTTAAAGAAAAAGTAAGTTATTGTACAATATTATGTCAGTGCATTTGATGAACTACATAAAATGAATATATATGATGCTGAAATTGAAGGAAGATATGTGCCGTGGGACTTCCTTACATACATATCAAGTGATGGAAACTACCTTTTCAGTTTTATTCTGTTCTGTGGGGCTTTGAATTAATTATTTTGATTTTACTGCCACTTACAATCTTCATCACAAGTAAAGATTCAAAAAATAAAAATGGTAAAATTTTCTTGAAGTCATTCAATTTGGGTGACAGCATTTTGATGGATAGTTCTGGTCTAACTCAATGAGTTTGTTTCACGTGTTTGTTCCCCAAAACATCATCACCCATATCTTTTGCTCTTCTGTTTTAGTACTCAACTGAATTTTCTTCTTAATTTTTCCAGATTTGCATTTTAAACTTTTCAAATGAAGTCTTCAGAAAAGTGAAGCTCTTTTCAAAGAGCTGAATTTTGACTTAGGTACTTACCTATGTTGAAATGACCAAAAACTCAAAATACCTTCCACTGAAAATGGAAGCATTAACCCTGTGGGATCTGGACTGTCTCACTATCAGCACTGGACATTCTGGGCTTCTCCCCTAGGAGAGCCTGGAAAATTAAAGATTCACATTTACTATCTTGAGCATATGTTTTTACATCAGATGGAGCTCTTGTCCTGCTTCATTTTATGTCTGTTGTACAAGTATACTTTGTATATATAGCTGTATATAACTAATTCTATTTTAAAAATTAACTTACACATTTTATTTAGGGAGAAATGGGTCCTAAAGGAGAGCAAGGTGTGCCAGGAATATATGGAAAAAAGGTAAGTAAATTTATAATCATGAAATAAAGCAAAATATTGTTGGTAACTGTGGTGGGGTGACCTTGGCTGGCTGCCTGGTGAGTACCCAGCCACTCTCTCGTTCTGCTTCCTCAACAGTACAAGGGGAGAAAATGTGATGGAAAAAGCTTGTGGGTCCAGATAAGGGCAGGGAGATCACTTACCAATTACTGTTATGGGCAAATCAGACTTGACTTCCCCCACCCTACTTTTTCCCAGGCTCAACTTCACTCCTCCATGGGATGGGGAATGGGGGGCAGGGTAAAGTGGTCAGTCTATAACAGTTCCTCTCTGCTCTCCTTCCTCCTCACATTTCTTCCCTGCTCCCATGTGGGTCCTTCCCACAGGCTGCAGTCCTTCAACAGAAACCTTGTCCTGCATGGAGTCTACATGGGCTGCAGCTTGGCTACCACAGCTCCACCATTGTCCCCTCCAGAGCCTGCAGGATAATCCCTGTTCCAGTGCCTGGAACACCTCCTCCCCCATCTTCTTCACTGACTTGGTGTCTGCAGAGTTGTTTCTCTGGCTTTTTTCTCTCATTCCTTACTTTGTCTGTGTTGCTTTTTGCCTTTTTGTTAAATTTCCTGAGGTGCCACCACCTTGGCTGCTGGGCTCAGCAGTGCCCTGAGGTGGGTTGGATGAGGCTGGCTCTAATCAGCTGTCTACAGCATGGGGCAGCTCTGGCCACTCCTCACAGAGGCTGCCCCACAGCCCCTGCTGCCAGCACCCCATCACCGACACCCAATACAGTTTCATTTATATTTTTATAATGGCTGTATTCACAGAAAATTTAATTCTGCAGTCCTAACTCAGAAAAATTTCTACTAAAGTTACTAGATATGCTTATGTCTAGTAATATTAAACCCATGCTGTGCTTAGCTGAATATTTTGAGAGCTCACTTCATCTATTAATGGATCCATGCAGTTAATTTTAACTTAACACAAAGTGCTTGTAAATATGTTTTTTTGTAAATATGTCTATGCCCTTAATATGGGGTGTGTGTATTAATTATATGTACAGAAAACTTGCTTTTAATACATAAAAATATACACAAACCATATAAATGAACATGAGAGAGGGAGAGGAATGAAGAGATGAGCACTTGAGTGGAATGAGACTGCTAGTGGATGCCTGGAAGAGAGACACTGTTTTAATCTGTGACTTATATAAAGTAGAGTGTGCTTCTAGGTAAATATTTATATTTCAGAGACCATATTTTGGTCATACAATGTAACAGTTACATTTTCACTGGTCCTTATATATTCTTCATGTATTTATTGGTCTAGAGCTTTAAGGGGTTTGAAAGAGGGTCTGTGTTCACATTTCTGCATTACAGAGCATATTTTCATTTCTGTCATGGGGACCACTGCCTGTTTTAAGAAAGAAACAGATCTTCCATATATGTTCAAAATAAGAAATAACATGCATGAATTATAGGTTAAATATATGGAGTTTGCAGAATAAACATTGAGCACTACTTACTTTTCATTTCATGTATTTCCCAGGGTTCTAAAGGAGAGAAAGGTGATATGGGGTTTCCAGGAATAGTTTTGTGATGACAATTTGCCTTTGATTTTTGCTTGTCAGTTCACCTACTGATGACTGTTAACCTTTGCCACAGGGAGATCCTGGCAGAAATGGGAAAGATGGATTACCAGGAAGTCCTGGTTTCAAGGTACGTACAAATATGTATTCATGTCTTGTCCAGGTCTTCAATAGCATTGCTGTTAGTCTAAATACACACAGCTAATTCTGTGGAGAATTACTGGAAATGAAAATAGTGTGTGTTACTAGAAAATGGAAAAGTTTACTGCAATTAATGGGCAGACTTCATTCGTTTCAGTTTGTGTGCAGGGCAAAAGCTGTTGTTGAGTGTATTAGTGATCATCAGAGACTGACTATACTTTGTCTCCCTCATCCTGTTAGTGTTTCTCTAACTCTGTGAATCTATTAAGGAGATTTTTATAAGAGCAAATACTGTAGAACATACCTGCTGCATACAGTTAAGAAGGAAGTAATCTTTATTGAAGATAAAGGAAGTAATTACTGTTGCTTTTGAAAGAAGATGAATGAAAGTTAGGGGAAAGCACCTTCAGTATTGGGTTCATGTTTATGTTCATATTCTCTTCACTGTGCGGTGCCCTTTATGTTTGATTTAGAACAGCTTTTTTCAAGCGGACTAAGTATTTGTTTATAGTAAAGAAGACTACATGATCTGATATTTCTATAATGTATTGCAATCTGTGAGCTCACTGGACATTTTGTTAACCAAGTCATTTGCAGTGTTCTAATTTATGAAAAGATGAAGATTAGCAGTATCAGTGTTAAGTTCACAGGAGAAAAAAAAAAAAAGTGATATAGCTGGTTGAATTGATGTAAAGCTTTTTAACAGCAGCTTAGTTCCTGTAATATTTTTCTTAATGATAATAATGAAGTGGTCTAGGGCTGCTCAAGATTAGTGTTCCCTCAGTGTCCAGAAATGCAACTTTACTTTGTCTAAATGTCTATTTAGTATATTTGAGATTATGGTCTTTCTTCTATTTTGTGACCATGCTTGTCTAGAGCGGTTGGGGATACCATAGCATATCTGTGACATCTGTTGCAGCAGGGAGTTTGTAGTCTTAGTTGCTGGTTTTGGGTACCCCAGGTGACCTGTAAGTGCCATTGCAGAAGGACACAGGTCTCCTGTAGCTGGTACCTGCCAGCCTGATGTGGAACCTTTGGCTGCCCTAGAGCACCTCAAGTAGTACCAGGCGTTTGTGATTAGGTAACTGAATCAAGCCTCTGTTCTTGGTAATGGGATATTAGATCCTTAGTGTATCTCTAGACAACTTCAGGTAGAGAAACACATGTAGACATCTTAATTTGAAGTTACAGGGGGCAGTTATCACTTTCAGACAACACTGCAGCACTTGTTATTCTAAAAATTGCCCAACTTCAGTGTATAACTAAGCATCCTGCAATTCAAAAATTTATTAGGAGAACATAGCTAAAATAAAAACCTTTAAAAAGTATATCTAAAATTAGAAATTATGCTTTTATGGTAGGTAAACTCAGTATTTCCTGTTTATTTGTTCTCTTTGAAAGGCCTAATGAGACTGTGCGAAATGGCAATGGAATAACTATTTTATGTCAAATTGGTGTACTGGATTTTTTAGCTGCCCTTAGCTTTGCACTACTGAAATATGTTAGTAAAAGAAGATGTAAATCTTAATTGGTGAAAAATATATTCTTGCTGCTCATTTTTCTGAAGGTAACTTCAGCAACCACCAGCAGGTTATTTCTGTGACACGGAAGGACTTTTTCTTTGTTTGTTACTTTATTTAATTTTAAATACCCCTACATTCATTTAATTTTGATCATCAAATCTCATTGATACCTGGCTACAAATGGTCATTATTAATATGTGTCTAGAAGAGCATATATATTTGACACCTGCAAATTTGTGAAGCAAAGGCAATTAACAGACATTCTTAAAACACTCAGTGAAGTTTGTGTTTATGGATGTAGTAGCTACCTGTGTTGCTGTAATTCCAGTAGAGCCTGGAGAGCAATTCAGCTCAAAGGTGGGAGAACTGGGGGTACCAGTTTAATATCCTACATAAAATTGTCTGGTGCTTTTGAGATGTGTTAGTGTCCAAAGCATCCTAAGGGAGCTGACAAAGATCACATAAGTCCTATGGAAAGCCAGTGGCTTTCTGGAATGGGAGAAGGAATCCAGACAAGATTAACAAGGGCAAGTGTTGAGTTTTGC